TCTCTATCTCTCTATACTCTTATCTTATATCTCTATTCTTTTAATCTTTTTTCTATCTTTCTATTCATTCTCTATCTCTTTTATCTCTCTCTTTTTCTCTCTCTATTCTTTTCCCCTATCTCTCTATCTCTCTCTATCTCTCTCTATCTCTATTCTCTATCTCTCTCTCTCTCTCTTCTTCTCTATTTTCTTATCTCTCTTCTATTCTTTTCTCTATCTCTATCTCTATCTCTCTATCTCTCTCTATCTCTCTCTTCTCTCTCCTCTCTCTCTCTCTCTCTCTCTCTCTTTTCTCTTATATATATATATATATATATTATATATATATATATATATATAAAATATATATTTATATATCTTTCTATTTATAATAGGATCCAAGAGGAGCAGTGTGGAAAGAGTTTTCATTAATTTAGGGTAATATTAAAGGAAAGAGTTTTTATTGCGGATTTTGTGGGCCCCTTAGGGTGTTAGGAGAGGGAGACTACTTCCCGGTAAAAGAGGTACAAGTAAGAAAAGGAAATGAAAGACCCAGGGGTGTTTAATATATGTGCTTGTACATGTATGTGTTGTGACTAAGGTAAGTAGAAGTAGCAAGACGTACTGAACTTGCATGTTCAAGGAGACAGAAAAAAGGGGCCCAGCAATCCTACCATCATGTAAAAACAATTACAGGCTTTCGTTTAAATCACTTGGGAGGACGGTAGTACCTCCTGGGCGGTTGCTGTCTACCAACCTACTACCTATGATATATTATATATAATATAAATTTAATATAGATAGATAGATAGAGAGCAATGTGGCAGATGTTGCAAGTAATGGAATAGTGGTAAGTTAAAAGCTGTAAAGAGTTTTTATGAGGATAGTGAGGGCTCAGGGTTTGGGTGTGTAGAAGAGAAAGGAGACTACTTCCCGGTTAAAGAGGTTAGACAGGGATGTGTAATGTCACATGGTTGTTTTAATATTTTAGAGGGGTTGTAAAGAAGTAAATGCTAGGGTGTTCGGGAGAGGGGTGGATTAAATTTTGGGGAATCAATTCAAAATGGGAATTGACACAGTTACTTTTTGCTGATGATACTGTGCTTATGGGAGATTCTAAAGAAAAATTGCAAAGGTTAGTGGATGAGTTTGGGAGTGTGTGTAAAGGTAGAAAGTTGAAAGTGAACATAGAAAAGATAAGGTGATGAGGGTGTCAAATGATTTAGATAAAGAAAAATTGGATATCAAATTGGGGAGGAGGAGTATGGAAGAAGTGAATGTTTTCAGATATTTGGGAGTTGACGTGTTGGCGGATGGATTTATGAAGGATGAGGTTAATCATAGAATTGATGAGGGAAAAAAGGTGAGTGGTGCATTGAGGTATATGTGGAGTCAAAAAACGTTATCTATGGAGGCAAAGAAGGGAATGTATGAAAGTATAGTAGTACCAACACTCTTATATGGGTGTGAAGCTTGGGTGGTAAATGCAGCAGCGAGGAGACGGTTGGAGGCAGTGGAGATGTCCTGTTTAAGGGCAATGTGTGGTGTAAATATTATGCAGAAAATTCGGAGTGTGGAAATTAGGAGAAGGTGTGGAGTTAATAAAAGTATTAGTCAGAGGGCAGAAGAGGGGTTGTTGAGGTGATTTGGTCATTTAGAGAGAATGGATCAAACTAGAATGACATGGAAAGCATATAAATCTATAGGGGAAGGAAGGCGGGGTAGGGGTCGTCCTCGAAAGGGTTGGAGAGAGGGGGTAAAGGAGGTTTTGTGGGCAAGGGGCTTGGGCTTCCAGCAAGCGTGCGTGAGCGTGTTAGATAAGAGTGAATGGAGACGAATGGTACTTGGGACCTGACGATCTGTTGGAGTGTGAGCAGGGTAATATTTAGTGAAGGGATTCAGGGAAACCGGTTATTTTCATATAGTTGGACTTGAGTCCTGGAAATGGGAAGTACAGTGCCTGCACTTTAAAGGAGGGGTTTGGGATATTGGCAGTTTGGAGGGATATGTTGTGTATCTTTATACGTATATGCTTCTAAACTGTTGTATTCTGAGCACCTCTGCAAAAACAGTGATAATGTGCAAGTGTGGTGAAAGTGTTGAATGATGATGAAAGTATTCACCCTGCCTCGGTTGGAGATAGCCGACTTGTTGAAAAAAAAAAAATATATATATACATGTGTATATATATATATATATATATATATTATATTATAATATATATATTATATATATATATATATATATATATATATATATATATATATATATATATTCTCTCTCTCTCTCTCTCTCTCTTCTCTCTCTCATTTATTTATTTATTTATTTATTTAATCTCGTTTACTCACCTCTCACCCTACATTAAGACTACAAATATTTTAAGGTAACTAATGAGTGTACTGTATATGCATTTTATCGCTTTAGGGTGCTTTAAATGCCTAGTATAAAATATGTAGGTGGGGTTGGCCAGCTGCTTAGGTATGGAAAGAATGAAAAACTCAAAAGGAACACTATAGTATATAAAACTCAAGAGGGTCACCAAATAGAATGTAAGGAACATGTAAAAGACCTGGGAATAATTATGTCTGCTGACCTTACTTTTAAAGACCATAACAAGACAAAGATCACGACAGCCAGGAAGATGACGGGGTGGGTATTGAGAACTTTCAAACAAGGGAGATAAAGTCGATGGTGACACTTTTCAGATCACTAGTGTTCCCTCACTTAGAATATTGCTCACTGCTGATGGCCCCATTCAGAGCAGGAGAAATATCAGAGATGGAACAATTACAAAGATTGTTTGTGGCTCATATTGAGCCAGTAAAGCACCTAAACTACTGGGAATACCTTTAAGTCTTGAACATGTACTCATTGGAGTGGAAGAGAGAGAGATACATGATAATATATACCTGGAAAGTACTCAAGGGCCTGGTCCCAAATCTGCACACTGCCATAACAACATAGTGGAGTGAGAGACATTGGAGGAAGGGTAAAATAAACCCAGTGAGGAGCAGGGATGTGGTGGGTACAATAAGGGAACACTGTATTAACATCCGGGGTCCCAGACTATTCAACATCTTACCGGAAGATATCAGAAACACAGCTGAAACAAGTGTAGAAGCCTTCTAGAGGAAACTGGGCAAGTATCTTCACTAGGTGCCAGATCAACCAGGCCGTGATGGATATGTGGGGCAGCAGGCCTCCAGCAGCAGCAGCCTGGTTGACCAGTCAGGCACCAGATGAGCCTGGCCCATGGCCGGGCTCAGATAGTAAAGAAACTCTCGAAGCTCTTCAGAGGCCCATCAAAGGTAATGTTTTACGATACCTACCACACTTCAATATCTACCTACCCTACTATTCACCTTGCACCCTTTATTAAGACCATTTAGACTACAAATATTTTAAGGTAAGTAATGAGTATACAGCTAGCCCTCCACTTTTGCGAGTTCCACTTTCGCGAACTTTGAACATTTGTGAATACCCAGCCAAATGCCCATGTGGGAAAAAAGTACAGGAAAACACTTCCCGCTGCGTCCCAATGAATTTTCATGTGTTTTATGATTGTTCATGGTTCATTAGGTTAAGGAAACAGTATTATTAGGCTAAGTAAATGCTATTATTATATTTCCCTACAATATATTTGCACATCAAAACATTTGCGAATGCTACAGTACAGTACAGTATTATTTTATTTCCCTACATCATATTTGCGCACCAAACATTCACGAATTTTCAAGATTCGCAAGGTTCTTGATCCCCTAACCCTCGCGAATGTGGAGGGCCTCCTGTACACTAAATGCATTTTATCACTCTAGGGCTCTTATTTGTCAAAGTATATTACATATGGGTGGGGTGTGGTGGCCTGGCTGGCTACCATACCTACCACACCTAACTTCTTACAATAAACACTACTCACTTCTCACCCTACATTAAGACTACAAATATTTTGAGGTAAGTAATGGGTGTACTTTATGTTTATTTTACTTTTTATTGTTTTTTAATGCCTTGTTCTGCTTTCAGGCGATGTTTGCTTTCCGGCAGTAGCCCGGAACCTAACCTGCTGTATAAGTGGGGCCCTACTGTGTGTGTGTGTGTGTGTGTGTGTGTGTGTGTGTGTATATATATACATGTATATTGTGTGTGTGTGTGTGTACACCCACCTATTTGTGGTTGCAGGGGTCAAGTGTGTGTTTGTGTGTGTCTGTCCTGTTATAGTATGTTGTAAGTTTTGTTATATGTACTCTTGAATATTTTGAGTATCTCTCAGTATAGGCGTTTGCACATGTTTTTGTGTTGGTGCCCGATCTCATTTTTTTTTTTTTAATGTATGTGTTTTATTAAATTGTAAGTTTTCTTGGGTACTTTTCATTAACCTTGAGCCATGTACATAAGATCCATGAAGGGCAAATTGTTTTATACATATTAAATATACCTCCTCCCAAGAGAGTCAGACCTCTGATAAGGCACCTACTGATCAGTTTCTAGGCCAGGCTACCCTAAGAACCAGTGTTTATCAGAGCTATTATCATATGCCTTAACTATCCTATATGATTCCTATTGAGCTTCCCTGCTCTTCCCCAGTTCTCTGTCTCTCTCTTCTGCTGGAAGTTTACCTTCTTTCATCTCTACTATTACTGCTAAAAGAGCAAGTGGTGGCAGCATACATTCCTGATTGAGAGAGTTCAGCCCTATTGTTCTTTTCTTTCAAATTGTACTTTATCTTTTTTTTGCCTGTTTTTGTGTGTATTTTAGTCCACTCCTGATCTCTTCCTGTGCAACTATAGACAATATGGCATTGTGTGGTGCTTTGTCAACCCAAGAGTGGGACTGGGGTGACAGCTTCATTTCATTGTGGAACAGAGTAATATCGTACCTCAAGGGACCACTGTATTTTGCAATTTGAACAGTTTCTCATAAAAATATTTTGTGCATTCTAACCATTGCCAGATTAAGGATATTATATATTGAATAGTGTGTAAGTGAAAAGAATATTAAAAATATTTATTTTCTTATCTGGCAAGGTGGAAGCTCTTCAGCAACAGGTCACTGCAAGACAGTCATCTCTTCCAACGGATATTCATCGGCACCGTATCAACACTGGGGTCACTCTAGGTTAGTTAGTTTGATCTACATTTTTTCAATCTGATTATTAATGGTTATTAAAAGTGATCACATAATTGTGATATACCGTAATACATACTCTGTATGGGTAAATTTTGCTCAAACAGTAGACCAGTTTAATTTTATTAATAATTAAAGTGAACTACTGTATTAATAATTTTTTAATGCATAACTAGTATATACCATAAATTCAATAAATATTTCTAAGTGCTCCAAAGATGTAATCCAACAGGTGGTTGACCCAAGATGGCAAGATAGCTTGCATGAAACTGTTTAGGTAAACACATTTTTAAAATACTTCTTTATTTTAAAGTTTCATAGTTTCATTATGTTTCAGTAGTACAAATTGAAAACAAGGTAAGATGCATGAATGTAAATTGAATTATTTCATTCATAATAGCAACTGGATCCAGCATGCAAATCCACTTTTTGTATTAAATTTTTTTGATAAATAGCTCTACCCAGAGTATCCTATGTGATTTATGGTTTAACTTCTCAGTTTTGCTGCTAATAATGACACTACCTGTGTCAGTTACTAAACTACTTTTCAGTCTGGAAAGGCATGGTGACCTGCAGCTGATAATATTAATATATGTAAAAGGATGGTACAGATATGGTTTACTGATGAAACTCATTTTTCTGAATAGTCCCAAGAGATTTACTAAGGCATATGAGGAACTAAAGTAGGATAATGATACATTTCTAAGGCAGAAGTTGTTAAGGCATTGTTGTTACTTTGAACAAAAGTTATCTGAATTATATTTAGAGATTTTCTTGATTATTCTGACACAGGTTTAAGATAAGAACCATTGAGACAAATTTGATGGTAATTTTAACAGAGGAATTAAATAAATTATGTAGGGAAAGAAATACCTGATTAAACGATCGACCAAGACTACATCCCTTCCTCCCTCCCTTGTAGAGGTAATAGAAACTTTCAAGAATGAACTATCATATGTTTTATTGCGTCAGTGGGCTACAAGCTATCAAAATTAGTGGTGACTGTCTTCCCATTTCAAGAATGCTATTGACTTGATTGAAAACTTGCATACGTTTATACCTTTGATGAGTTTTGAGATGTTTAATCTCAGAACCTGACCACTGGGCCAGGCTTATCTGGTGCTTACCTGATCAGCCAGGCTGTTGCTGCTGGGAGCCAGCTGGCCTACATGTCCATCATAGCCTGGTTGATCTGTCCATCTTTGCCTTACCTAGGTACACAGCAATGCATAACTGTAGATCTGATCAAGTATGAGGAAATACCGGGGGCGTTGACCCCCGGAACTCTCTCCAGGTAAACTCCAGGTAATGTATTAACTCTACATGTACCAGGAATGAACATGACAGATATATATCTTCTTTCTTTCTTTCAACACAATGGCCATATCCCACTGAGGCGAGGTGACCCAAAAGGAAAAACGAAAGTTTCTCCTTTTCTTTCTTTCTTTCAACACACCGGCCGTATCCCACCGAGGCGGGGTGGCCCAAAAGGAAAAACGAAAGTTTCTCCTTTTACATTTAGTAATATATACAGGAGAAGAGGTTACTAGCCCCTTGCTCCCGGCATTTTAGTCGCCTCTTACAACACGCATGGCTTACGGAGGAAGAATTCTGTTCCACTTCCCCATGGAGGTAGGAGAAGATAAACAGGAATAAGAACTAGAAAGAAAATAGAAGAAAACCCAGAGGGGTGTGTATATATATGCTTGTACATGTATGTCTAGTGTGACCTAAGTGTAAATAGAAGTAGCAAGACGTACCTGAAATCTTGCATGTCCATGAGACAGAAAAAAGGACACCAGCAATCCTTCCATCATGTAAAACAATTACAGGCTTTCGTTTTACACTCGCTTGGCAGGATGGTAGTACCTCCCTGGGCGGTTGCTGTCTAGCAACCTACTATCTACAATTATTATAAATAATTATAAATAAATAAATACTCATTATTTTATTATTATTATTTTATAATTATTATTATTTTATAATTATTATTATTTTATAATTATTATTATAGGTAGTAGGTTGGTAGACAGCAACCACCCAGGGAGGTACTACCGTCCTGCCAAGTGAGTGTAAAACGAAAGCCTGTAATTGCTTTACATGATGGTAGTATTGCTGGTGTCTTTTGTCTGTCTCATAAATATGCAAGATTACAGGTATGTCTTGCTACTTCTACTTACACTTAGGTCACACTAAAAATACATGTACACATTTATTTATACACACTCATCTGAGTTTTCTTTGATTTTATCTTAATAGTTCTTGGTCTTATTACTTTTCCTTTTATATCCATGGGGAAGTGGAATAAGAATCTTTCCTCCGTAAGCCATGCATGTTGTAAAAGTCGACTAAAATGCCGGGAACAATGGGCTAATAACCCCTTTTCCTGTAAAGATTACTAAAAAGAATAAGAAGAAGAAAATTGTCAAAGTGGGAAGTCTGAATGTGCGTGGATGTTGTGCAAATGATAAGAAAGAGATGATTGTGGATGTTATGAATGAGAAGAAACTGGATGTCCTGGCTTTAAGTGAAACAAAGCTGAAGGGGTGGGAGAGTTTCAATGGAGGGGAAATAAATGGGATTAGGTCAGGGGTTTCAAATAGAGTTAGAGCTAAAGAAGGAGTAGCAATAATGCTGAGGGATAAGTTATGGCAGGAAAAGAGGGACTACAAATGTATAAATTCAAGGATTATGTGGATTTAAAATAAAGATTGGATGTGAAAAGTGGGTTATAGTAAGCGTGTATGCACCTGGAGAAGAGAGAAGTGTAGAGGAGAGAGAGAGAGATTCTGGGAAATGTTGAGTGAATGCATGGGGAGTTTTGAATCAAGTGTGAGAGTAATGGTGGTTGGGGATTTCAATGCTAAAGTGGGTAAAAATGTTATGGAGGGAGTAGTAGGTAAATTTGGGGTGCCAGGGGTAAATGTAAATGGGGAGCCTTTAATTGAGCTATGTGTAGAAAGAAATTTGGTAATAAGTAGTACATATTTTATGAAAAAAAGAGGATAAATAAATATACAAGGTATTGATGTAGCACGTAATGAAAGTAGTTTATTAGATTATATATTTTGGTGGATAAAAGGTTGATGGGTAGGCTCCAGGATGTACATGTTTATAGAGGGGCAACTGATATATCGGATCATTATTTATTTTGTAGCTACAGTTAGAGTAAGAGGTAGATGGGAAAAGAGGAAGGTGGCAACAACAAGTAAGAGGGAGGTGAAAGTGTATAAACTAAGGGAGGAGGAAGTTCGGGCGAGATATAAGCGACATTGGCAGAAAGGTGGGCTAGTGCAAAGATGAGTAGTGGGGGTGTTGAAGAGGGTTGGAATAGTTTTTAAAATGCAGTATTAGAATGTGGGGCAGAAGTTTGTGGTTATAGGAGGGTGGGGCAGGAGGAAAGAGGAGTGATTGGTGGAATGATGAAGTAAAGGGTGTAATAAAAGAGAAAAAGGTAGCTTATGAGAGGTTTTTACAAAGCAGAAGTGTTATAAGAAGAGCAGAGTATATGGAGAGTAAAAGAAAGGTGAAGAGAGTGGTGAGAGAGTGCAAAAAGAGAGCAGATGAAAGAGTGGGAGAGGCACTGTCAAGAAATTTTAATGAAAATAAGAAAAAATTTTGGAGTGAGTTAAACAAGTTAAGAAAGCCTAGGGAAAGTATGGATTTGTCAGTTAAAAAACAGAGTAGGGGAGTTAGTAGATGGGGGAGAGGGAGGTATTAGGTAGATGGCGAGAATATTTTGAGGAACTTTTAAATGTTGAGGAAGAAAGGGAGGCGGTAATTTCATGCACTGGCCAGGGAGGTATACCATCTTTTAGGAGTGAAGAAGAGCAGAATGTAAGTGTGGTGGAGGTATGTGAGGCATTACGTAGAATGAAAGGGGGTAAAGCAGCTGGAACTGATGGGATCATGACAGAAATGTTAAAAGCAGGGGGGGATATAGTGTTGGAGTGGTTGGTACTTTTGTTTAATAAATGTATGAAAGAGGGGAAGGTGCCTAGGGATTGGCAGAGAGCATGTATAGTCCCTTTATATAAAGGGAAAGGGGACAAAGGAGATTGTAAAAATTATAGAGGAATAAGTTTACTGAGTATACCAGGAAAATTATGCGGTAGGGTTATAATTGAAGGAATTAGAGGTAAGACAGAATGTAGGATTGCAGACGAGCAAGGAGGTTTCAGAGTGGGTAGGGGATGTGTAGATCAAGTGTTTACATTGAAGCATATATATATATATATATTAATATAATATATTTATATATATATATATATATATATATATATTTTTTTTTTTTTTTTTTTTTTTTTTTTTTTTTTTTTTTTATCACACTGGCCGATTCCCACCAAGGCAGGGTGGCCCGAAAAAGAAAAACTTTCACCATCATTCACTCCATCACTGTCTTGCCAGAAGGGTGCTTTACACTACAGTTTTTAAACTGCAACATTAACACCCCTCCTTCAGAGTGCAGGCACTGTACTGTACATTGAAGCATATATGTGAACAGTATTTAGATAAAGGTAGGGAAGTTTTTATTGCATTTATGGATTTAGAAAAGGCATATGATAGAGTGGATAGAGGAGCAATGTGGCAGATGTTGCAAGTATATGGAATAGGTGGTAAGTTATTAAATGCTGTAAAGAGTTTTTATGAGGATAGTGAGGCTCAGGTTAGGGTGTGTAGAAGAGAGGGAGATTACTTCCTGGTAAAAGTAGGTCTTAGACAGGGATGTGTAATGTCACCATGGTTGTTCAATATATTTATAGATGGGGTTGTAAAGGAAGTAAATGCTAGGGTGTTTGGGAGAGGGGTGGGATTAAATTTTGGGGAATCAAATTCAAAATGATAATTGACAGTTACTTTTTGCTGATGATACTGTGCTTATGGGAGATTCTAAAGAAAAATTGCAAAGGTTAGTGGATGAGTTTGGGAATGTGTGTAAAGGTAGAAAGTTGAAAGTGAACATAGAAAAGAGTAAGGTGATGAGGGTATCAAATGATTTAGATAAAGAAAAATTGGATATCAAATTGGGGAGGAGTATGGAAGAAGTGAATGTTTTCAGATACTTGGGAGTTGACGTATCGGCGGATAGATTTATGAAGGATGAGGTTAATCATAAAATTGATGAGGGAAAAAAGGTGAGTGGTGCGTTGAGGTGTATGTGGAGTCAAAAAACGTTATCTATGGAGGCAAAGAAGGGAATGTATGAAAGTATAGTAGTACCAACACTCTTATATGGGTGTGAAGCTTGGGTGGTAAATGCAACAGCGAGGAGACGGTTGGAGGCAGTGGAGATGTCCTGTTTAAGGGCAGTGTGTGGTGTAAATATTATGCAGAAAATTCGGAGTGTGGAAATTAGGAAAAGGTGTGGAGTTAATAAAAGTATTAGTCAGAGGGCAGAAGAGGGGTTGTTGAGGTAGTTTGGTCATTTAGAGAGAATGGATCAAAGTAGAATGACATGGAAAGCATATAAATCTATAGGGGAAGGAAGGCGGGGTAGGGGTCGTCCTCAAAAGGGTTGGAAAGAGGGGGTAAAGGAGGTTTTGTGGGCAAGGGGCTTGGACTTCCAGCAAGCGTGCATGAGCATTTTAGATAGTGAATGGAGACGAATGGTACTTGGGACCTGACGATCTGTTGGAGTGTGAGCAGGGTAATATTTAGTGAAGGGATTCAGGGAAACCGGTTATTTTCATGTATTTGACTTGATTTCCTGGAAATGGGAAGTACAGTCCCCTGCATTTTAAAAAGGAGGGGTTTGGGATATTGGCAGTTTGGAGGGATATGTTGTGTATCTTTATATGTGTATGCTTCTAGACTGTTGTATTCTGAGCACCTCTGCAAAAACAGTGATAATGTGTGAGTGTGGTGAAAGTGTTGAATGATGACAATATTTTCTTTTTGGGGATTTTCTTTCTTTTTTGTGTCACCCTGCCTCGGTGGGAGACGGCCGACTTGTTGAAAAAAAAAAAAAATCCATGGGGAAGTGGAATAAGAATCTTTCCACCGTAAGCCATGCGTGTTGTAAAAGTCAACTAAAATGCCGGGAACAATGGGCTAGTAACCCCTTTTCCTGTAAAGATTACTAAAAAGAATAAGAAGAAAATTATTATTATTATTATTACAGTATTATTATTATTATTATGATTATCTACCAACAGTCATACAAAATACTGAGGACTCAGCACATGGAGGTGGTTGCTTTTAGAGTTCCATTATTACTAATGAAAATATGAGAATAGAGTGAGAAAGTTATTCAGGTTTATAAAGGAGTTAGTTTTTAACACCAATATTACACTTTATAACGTTTCCCAACATAATTTACACACTGTACATGCACCATACTTTAAAAGAGGATAAGGACAAAAGGCATTGGTGAGTAAAATTTTTTATTTATTTTGTTCTGTAATGTTTTGACTGGGGAATTTTGCTTTAGATTTCAGCGTTAGATGGGATGGACTATCGGTTATAATAATATAATCTTTATTTCTACAAGTACATGTACATACAATGTATACAGGTCTAGCTGACATCAGTGACATATTGCTATATAGAAAGCTCCTTGTTATGCAGAGCACTTCAAGCAAATTAGGTAAATTTTGTCCCCAGGATGCAACCCACACCAGTCGACTAACACCCAAGTACCTAGTTTACTGATAGGTAAACATGGACAGCAGGTGTTTTAAGGAAACATGCCCTAATGTTTCCAACTGTACCAGAGGTTGACTCCCAGCCCTCAGCGTGTGAGCTGGGTGTGCTAGCAATCATCGCTCTCAACTCGGCCTCATCTGTAGTACCATTAACTTTTCATATTTGTATGGACAGTACCAATGCTAGGTGTAATTTAATTCTGATGAAATTTCTTAGAACACTGGATATCTTGCAGCCATTTTTTCTCTTTCCTCAATACTACCATAGAATCTGCACAACAGTACACTCAGCCTCCAAATTTACCAAGGTTATGTTCCTAGAGGCTTCATAAAGCCACAGTTCATGAGTACAAAATTTTGCTCATTTAATAATTTTTGTTTCAGATATTGAAGTTTTTTGTTTGAGAAGGCATAGCTTTTTAAGTCATGCTCTAAGCTGCTTAATATTGACATTGATAAAAAGGAATATCTATAGCAAAAAGAAATTTTGGTGTGGGAAAAACAGTGAACACATTTTGAATAAAGCCCTATGGTTCGTTTTTTTTTTCTCTAGGGGGGATGCATTTATGCTGGTAAAGGAATTTTTCTCCAGTTAATTGGAGGTACTCTTCCTTTCTTTGGAACAAGCCTGATTAAATAAAAAAAAGGCACAATACCGTGACTGGAACGATACATAAATAACCCGCACATAGAAGAGAGGAGCTTATGACTACGTTTCAGTCCGACTTGGACCATTTACAAAGTCACACAGTGTGACTTTGTAAATGGTCTAAGTCGGACCGAAACGTCGTCGTAAGCTCATCTCTTCTATGTGCGGGTTATTTGTGTAAGCCTGATTGCTTATAATTCCCCAGGCACTGTATGACCCCTACAAGTTTAGCACTGCCCCATGAATGTGATGATAATATGCAGCTCTGTAGTTTGTTTTAAATTTAAAGACTGTATGGCAAGCTATTGAGGAAATGCTCTTCAAGAATCACATTCAATGACTGGACACCTGTGAAATTTGTGGTCGACTATGTGCCTCTTGTCTTGTTATTAAGCTGATTATTTTCACTCTTCTGTGTGTTACCATGGTTCATTCTTCTTTGTGTTACTATGGTTGACTTTACCTTGTGCTACTGTGGTTCACTGCACCTTGTGTTACTGTGGCTCACTGCACCTTAATTTAATAAAAATAGCATTATGTTAAAAACAACTGTGTCATAATTCACATATATATAATTTTTAATGTATTTTTGCGAAGTTGTAGATTTTAAAACTAATCTTTAATATGAAAAATTCAAATTAACCTCAGTTTGAGTTCTGATTTTGATACATTAAATACATTTTTATTTTATGTGGGAATCATATTACCATGGTTAGTTTCACCTAAGGTTTTATCACATCTCATCTAATTTCCATGATCAACATTAACCTGCACACAAGTGTGACCCTGGTAATATGTGCTCCTTGACAGGTGTGCAAGGTAGGCGCAGTCCCCCTGTAGGTTAGTAACCAACTTCACCACTCACCATACCACTTAGTGATACCAGCATGAGCCATCTGCATAAGTATTTTTATGTTATAGAGCAGTAATACTGTGCATGAGTATCTGCTATTGTACACTCAAGTGAGCATTAATCTTTTTGAAATTTCTTTTAGGCAAATTAAGTTGCATGTGCAGTTGAACTGTATTTGTTATTCTGGATTAAATTATTTTTATTTTAGAATAAAAGGGATGTGTACAGTATTGTATAGTGGACACATTGTTGTACTGTAACTTCACATACTGTATACAGATACAGTACAGTAGATCGTCAGTTTTGTGTTTTCTAAATACAGTTTCACAGTTTGTCTTAAAAACGTAATGCAAAATTTACCATAAAATTTTTCTGAAAATTTAATATGATCAGGGGATATATCAGACCCCATGGGTGTGAGTTATGGTTTTTGTTGCAGTAAGGAAGCTGCAGGCATTAATAGTATACAAGGCCAACAAATTGATGAATAAGACACACGTGCAATTGTTACAATATGTTTTGGTTTAAGATAGCTCACTAATTCCCAAAGAGGTCTTGGGAAATACATTTATGGGAAGTCCAACCCATCCTCTGAAACTTATCCTGCCTCCAGTTCAGACAATAGGTTAGAGTTAAAAACTTGTATATGGAATATGCAACTATTTTTGTGGTATAAACCTTGGTAATAAATACCGACAAGTTGGTTTAGAAAGACACGTAAGCAAACACTATAACATATTTATTAGAAAACATTTCGGTCCTGGGACCTTGGTTAGAAGTGATCAAGGTCCCAGGACCGAAACGTTTTCTAATAAATATGTTATAGTGTTTGCTTACGTGTCTTTCTAAACCAACTATTTTTGTGTACAAATATTTATAGAATATACATATGGCAATTAGTTTGTCCTAGCCCTTGCATTAGCAACAAAGAATGCACATACTCCTAGCATGGGGGGGTCATGGGAACCACTCAACCTTAGTTTGGCTACAGTCACGTGTTAACCCATTTTGAGAGCAAATTCTCTATAATTTCCTTCCTGGTTGCCTTTGCCAGTGTTTTGATACACTGTAGCAACCCTGGAACACATTTTCCTGTACATCAAAACTCTGTCATGGTCTTACCTCCTGGGCATCTCACATTTTGCCTAGGGAAGTCTTCTCCCAGCCTGGATTCAAGAGAGAGAGAGAGAGAGAGGCGGCCTGGGGCTTCCCCACACCAACGTCAAGTGTTGGCAAATAAAAAAATCGTTATGCACAGTAATTTAACTAATTAATATTCTTTTGCTTTCCTTCAAAACACTACATTTTTTTAGCCTTATTTATTATAATAATACACTATTAACCCACTGAGGGTCGAGAGGCTCTCTCCCAAACTCGTTCTCAGGGTCGAAAAATTTTCAAAAAAAAAAAAATGTGAAATGATAGAGAATCTTTTTCTGATCATAATGACACCAAAAGTATGAAATTTGATGAAAAACTTACGGAATTATGCTCTCGCGAATTTAGCAGTCTCAGAGTGGGCGATTTTGCTCAATTTGAGCCCTATTTTCGGCCAATTCCATTGTTGCAGTTGACTAAAAATCATAGCTATTTCCCTAGAACTCCATTTGTTCTTTCGATTGAGTACAAGAATCCGCCCATTTACCGATTTCAACTACCCATTAAAGTGGTCAGAAATTGGCAATTTGGGCAATTTCACACAAATTTCAAAAGATGCCAATTTCGAAATAGGGTCTAGAATAAACAAGACAGACATTCATGGCACTAAAATAACATTTTATCTGTTCATTAGTCATGTCTCTAGGCCCCTCTTACATTTCTTTTGCTTTCCATTTTGAATTTTTATTCTCACAGAAAATAGAAGGTTTTGTCATGTATACTACTACATCATTGTAAAATGGTATAAATTATATCAGCGCACTTGTGAAAGAATATTAGACTCACCATTTGACGTGTATTAGACTCGTGGCTTGATTTGTTTACTCTTGAACATCGGCAAAAGTCGGTTATTTCTGCTATTTTGAGCTCAATTTAAAGGTACTTGTCATCGTGAAACCAATCAAAATCATCTCTAATTCTGTAATATATCTTCCAGTCTATCACTGAAATCAAGGAAACAAGAATACAACCATAAATACCATACGAAAATGCACTGGAAAGTCGCTGTTTTAAACCAAAAACACAGTTGAAGTTTTTTTTTTCTCATTAAGCACAGTGTGCTTCAGGATTTTTTTTATACTGCACACACTGACCACACAGACCCATCCTTTCATATGTAGGCCTGCTAGCTTTCTTCCACTAGATTTGAAGGCGGTAGAATTTAGGTGTACTTGTATGTGACCGACCCTCAAAGGGTTAAAGTACTACTGATACAATCTAATTATTATAAATTATTTGTTTTGTTTTCAAGTGAACTTATTAGCTGTTGAAATGTTTAAGGCTTGCACTCAAGCTCTCCCACAAAAGAGTTAAAAATTCTTATGCCAGAATTGAGCTAGCTGTGTCCCCAATAGTTCACTTTAACTAGGTATTACAAATATTTATCCCAGTACAGTTAGGGTCTGCTAGTGGGTTCTGTAACCCCTTGTAACACAACACCTGGACATCTTGTTTTATGGAATTTTGTTTTCAGCCAGTGATGCTTTTTAATTCATTTCAAAGATTACATACTGTATTGGAGACAGTAGAAGATCATGATAATCAGTCCTTCAATTTTGATCATATTAATCATGCCTAGAGGATGAAATGCATATCAAGGCTCAGGGACTGATTACCTCATCTTCCATTATCTTGAATATACAATTTCTGTACTGAATTACAAAGCCACTGGTTAGTGAAACATTATGATAAAAATACCCAGGTGTTGCACACATGTCTTATTCATCAAGCTGGAGGCATCAGTATGTAGTGTGAATATTATGCATTGAATAAAAAGTAAAATTAAAAGTGTGGTGGTATGAAAGGTATAATTCAGAGAGCAGAGGAAGAGGAGTTTAGATGGTTCAATCATTCAGAATGGATGGAAGAGAATAGGTTGTACATGAGGGTATATAATTCTAAGGTGGATGGAAAAGATTGGATATGTCCCAGCAAGGGTTGGAAGGAGGGTGGTGATGATTTAAGTGGAAGTGAATAGAGACTAGTTACTTTTGGGGATTTGATGTACTGTTAGTGTGTGAAGAAGGCAACATACATGATGGAATTTAGGCAAACTAATCGAGACGTTTTAGTTCTGGTGGTGGGAAAACAGAGTTAAAATGTTGCACTATATACAGTGAATAATTGTCGTTGCCATGTTCATACCCCTTTGGAAAGACTGGTAAGGAAAAAGTAATGGTGAATGGTTTTCCTTTTTAAGTCACCCCACCTTGCTGGGAAATAGCCAGTGCATTAAAAACAAATCTTTATATTTTAGTTGATTTTCAAGGGTTTATCCATAAAAGTATTCCTCTGCAGCACAAACTGAGATCACTGTATATTCTTTGTGCTTGTACAGTACTGTACATATATCTTACTCTGACCTCTACACTCTGAAGTTCCTTCATATCACAAGGCTGCTACAGCTGGCAGAATGAGTTACAAGAGATGATCCATAAGTTCTGAGACAAATGTTGCTGTACAAGCAATAAAGGTTGCAAAAGTAAAACTCTCGCTTATCTGAACACATGTCCTGTGTAGTAGTACTCAGCCAATTAGGGGGTTACATCATTGCAGTGTGTGTGTGTGTGTGTGTGTGTGTGTGTGTGTGTGTGTGTGTGTGTGTGTGTGTGTGTGTGTGTGTGTGTGTGTGTGTGTATTGTACAAGAGAGTGCACCATTATTTTGATATTCATTACAAGGCTCTGGTGCAGTACAGATTTATTCCACAAGGACTAACTGTGAGCTAGTGTTTTTTTCAACAACTCATGTATGGTGCCTCAGAGTAGCAATGTGAAACAAATTCCTGGTGCACTCATATCACAACACCTGAAACCAATTCTCTTTGCAGATGACACTACTTATGTCATCTCCCACCCAAATCTTGCCTCGCTCAACACCATTGTTAATGAAGAGCTACTAAAAATATCAACCTGGATGACTGCCAATAAACTTACACTTAACACTGACAAAAACCTTCTATATTATGTTTGGTAACAGAGCAGGTGATGCACAACTGAACATTAAGATTGACAACACTCTTATTGCTAAACATAATGAGGGCAGATTCCTGGCCCTACACCTCAACAGCAACCTGAAATTCAGCACAGTTGGGATCCTCTCTAAGATATGTTACTGTGTACCACAGTCAGCCCTACTCACATTATACTACTCACTCATCTATCCGTACCTCACATATGCTATTTGTGCTTGGGGATCAACAGCAGCAACCCACCTAAAGCCAATAATAACTCAACAAAAAGCCGCAGTAAGAATTATCATGCAGTCCAATATGTATTAGGCAACACCTCCCCATCCCCCCACTCTTCAAAGACCTAAACTTACTCACTGTACAGAACAACCTACATTTACAGAACCATAAATTCCAATAGTTGGGACAGGACCCATAGGCACAATACCAGACACAAGAATCTCTATGACATTCCCCGTGTCCAGCTAAATCTATACAAAAATTCAATGCGCATAAAAGGGCCTAAAATATGTAACTCCCTGCCTGAAAACTTTAGAACTGCAGACAACTACCGTTAAAAAACACCTTATCTCTCTAACACTCCCTACCGTGAGCTAACTTCATGAAAACCACCTATTCTCTTACTTTTATCATACACACATCCAGAACTCATCCAATGCTCTCAGTATCTGTGATATCCCCAATTTACACTTAGATTCACCCAAATGACTGTAAACATAAAACTCCAAATATAGCTATTGCCTATAAATTTAAACTAGTCATAAATTTGCCTTTAATACTCCAATGTAGGAGCTCTAATAGAAACTGTGTATCATGTCAAGACAAAACCATTCTCATTACTAAATTTACAAATTGTAATATTCTTAAATGTTTGGAACTACCTCACAATTGTAAATCTATTTAATCACTACAGTTACCTAACTTGAATAGCAGTTTGTTCCGTAACCTGTGTCAATATAGAGTAAGAATTAGTATTAGTTTGCCCGAAATCCCTAGGCATGCCAGTGGCCTTCTTTGTAATTAATGTTTTGTATGTAAACCACACATTGTAGTTAATATTGTATAAGATGTAAACCCCACATTGTAATTTTTACAGAGAAATGAACATTTCAATTTCAGTGTGCCACACACCAACACACTGGAAATAGATGAAGTAATAGTACACCCAGGCACTGAGTTCTAAGGCACTAGGCAGGAATTCACATAATACTTTTTACTTTTGCATCCATAATTTTTATACAGTTTGAATATGTTAATTGTTGGAATATTTTAATCACATCTCATATACAAGATTAAAATCTTAATACTTCTGACTGGAACAATTCACAGCTAACCAACAATTTGGATTGAAAACTAAAGAACTATTATCAGGTTGCATCTTAATACTGGTAATAGTATTGTCTAGTTTCTCTTTCTGATTTGTAAAGTAGCAGTCAACCATTTTATATATGCTCTGTGTATACAAAACACTTTAGATTTAATTTTGTTGTCTTTCATAGATAATTTTGTTACACTGAGATATAATTAGTTTTGCTTTCTAATTAGTGTAATAAGTGTTAGTAAAATAATCCAGTATAGCTGTCCTATCACTAATGTGAACCACCTATTTTGTATATTTATTCACATTGTATACATTTGCATGCAGCATGCATAGTTCAGATTATTAATGTATATTTCTTGGTAAATGAAACACTTGTGCAATATTTGGGTATGTTTATTCTAGAAACATTTCACCAGTCAGTGGCTTCTTTAGTCCAGTGCAGAGAAAAATGGAAGATACAGAGAAGTTGAGGTAATCAGTCCCTCAGCCTGGAGTAAACATGCTCAGTTCATCAATCTCGATTAAAGTGCAGCATATTCATGGAGATGGGGTTTATGTACTGCAAACAGATAGAGTGGAGCATTAGTTGGCAGTCACCAGTGAAAAAAACCACTAATGGCAGTAAGTTGTGTCTATAGGTTTGACAAGCTTTGAAGAATTCCCTGCATCAAGATCTTAAGATATTGCTGTGTCTGACAGAATTTGAATGAAAATAGTTTAGAAAACAGACAAGTTGATAATTAACACTTGTGCAACATTGATGGACTGAACACCTCAACTCCAAGCTGAGGGACTGATTACCTCAAACAACTCCGCATCTTCCACCATTCTATATACTAAACTGAAGAAGCCACTTGCTGGTGAAATATTTCCAGAATAAAGATACCCAAATGTTGCACAAGTATCTCATTTATTAACTTGTTGGTTATCTAAACCATTTATTCAGATTCTCTATATTTCTTACACTATATAACATTTATTTGATTATTTGGTGATCCTGACAGATGTTAATGAGCCCCCATTTTTGGAAATATCTGTGGCTTGTGACAATCTGCGTTGTGATGGTGATGGGCAGCCGCCATCCCCAAGGGTAACAGTGCAAGTTCTCAACCGACCACAGACTACATGGATTCATTATGCACAGACTGAAGTTATTGAAGTAAGGATATGTTTGGGTACCTTCCTTCAGATATTTAGCTAGAAGCACAAGCTATTAAAAACTGTATAATGTAGTACAGTACAGTACAGTGGACCCCCGCTTAACGATCACCTCCAAATGCGACCAATTATGTAAGTGTATTTATGTAAGTGCGTTTGTACGTGTATGTTTGGGGGTCTGAAATGGACTAATCTACTTCACAATATTCCTTATGGGAAAAAATTCGGTCAGTACTGGCACCTGAACATACTACTGGAATGAAAAAAGTTCGTTAACCGGGGGTCCACTGTATTTGGATTCTAAATGTTAATCATGAATGTGCTCAGGCATCTGTAGAAAGAAAAAAAGCAGCTTACCTATGGAATTAAAAAGGGTTATTTACAAGGGTATAGTGTTCTAACACTTTTATATGGGTATGAAGCATGGGCTTCAAATGTTGCATCAAAAAGGAGACTGGAGACAGTGACGATGTCATTTTTAAGAGCAATGTGTAGTATAAATATTATGCAGAGAAGTCATAGAGTGGAGAGCATAGAAATCAGAAGACATTATGGATTTTCCAAATGTATAATTCAGTGCTGAAAAGGGGTTTTTGAGGTGGTTTGGGCATTTAGATAGGATGGAACTGAAAAAGGTATATAAATCTTGGGTGAAAGGAAGGAGGGGATATGGGTTGTCTCATGACGGGTTGGAGGGAGGGGGAATAAAGGTTTTGAGTGTTAGGAACTCAAACATCCAACAGAATTGTGTGAGTGCGTTAGTTCGGAGAAAGTAGAAACAAGGGGATTTTATGACTTGATGTGCTATCAGAGTGTGAGCAAACAATAACAGGCCTGGATGGCTTGTTATTGTTGAGGGAACAATGATGGAGGCATTTTCCTGCAGGAGCTTCCTCCATGCCACACTTCTAGAAAAATGCTGACATTCTTCGAAGAGAGTGGGCTAAGCATTCTAAATTGGCCTGGAAACTCTCCTGACCTCAGCCCAGTTGAAAATCTATGGGCACTAACCAAATGCAGGATTGCAAAATGGAACTGTTCAACTGTAGAGAAGCTAATTGCTGCTGTTATTAGGAGCTCGTACCATGTTGTATGAACAACTTTCCAAAATGTCTTCAACATTAGTCAGTTTTATATCAAAGCATGTAGCAATGCTTATCAAAGCAAAGGGTAGTCATATCTCTTCTTAAATCAATTATCTGTTCTATTATTGCTGTGTATTTTCAAATAAACATTAATTTTTCAAATGTCTTATTTCATCACTGTCCCAATTAAAATGCACACTATTGTAAGTGATACCTTGCTCACACTCCAACAGCACATAAAATCATAAAAACCACTTTCCTCCACTCACTCCTATCTAACACTCTTGCACAAGCCTGTTTGATGTCCGAGTCCTTAGCACTTGAAACCTCCTTTATCCCCTTCCTCCAACCTTTCCTACAATGACCTCTACCTCTCCTTTCCCTCCCTCCACCCAAGAGTTATATGCCTTGCTAGTCATCCTATTTTGTTCCATCCTCTCTAAATGTCTAAGCTACCTCAACAACACATCCTCAGCCCTCTGAGCAATACTTTTGGTAACTCCACACCTAATCTCCGAATTTTCTGCACAATATTTAGCAGGTTATAGTAAGCGTATATGCACCTGGAGAAGAGAAAAGTGTAGAGAAGAGAGAGAGAGAGAGATGTTATGGGAACTGTTGAGTGAGTGTGTGAGGGAGTTTTGAATCAAGTGTGAGAGTACTTGTAGTTGGGGATTTCAATGGTAAAGTGGGTAAAAATGTTGTGGAGTGAGTAGTAGGTAAATTTAGGGTGCCAGGGGTAAATGAAAATGGGGAGCCTTTAATTGAGCTATGTGTAGAAAGAGGTGTGGTAATAAGTAATACATATTTTATGAAGAGGATAAATATACTACAAGGTATGATATAGCACGTAATGAAAGTAGTTTGTTAGATTATATATTGGTGGATAAAAGGTTGATGGGTAGGCTTCAGGATGTACATGTTTATAGAGGGGCAACTGATATATCGGATCATTATTTAGTTGTAGCTACAGTTAGAGTAAGAGGTAGATGGGACAAAAGGAAAATGGCAGCAACAAGTAAGAGAGAGGTGAAAGTGTATAAACTAAGGGAGGAAGAAGTTCAGGTGAGATATAAGCAACTATTGGCAGAAAGGTGGGCTAGAGCAAGTATGAGTAGTGGGGGGGTTGAAGAGGATTGGAATAGTATTAAAATTGCATATTAGAATGTGAGGCAGAAGTTTGTGGCTATAGGAGGGTGGGTGCAGGAGGAAAGAAGAGTGATTGTTAGAATGATGAAGTAAAGGGTGTGATAAGAGAAAAAGGTAGCTTATGAGAGGTTTTTACAAAGCAGAAGTGTTATAAGAAGAGCAGAGTATATGGAGATTAAAAGAAAGGTGAAGTGAGTGTAAAAGGAGAGCAGATGATAGAGTGCGAGAGGCACTGTCAAGAAATTTTGATGAAAATAAGAAAAAATTTTGGTGTGAGATGGGGAGATGGAGGTATTGGGTAGATGGCAGGAATATTTTGAGGAACTTTTAAATGTCGACGAAGAAAGGGAGGCGGTAATTTCATATACTGGGCAGGGAGGTATACCATCTTTTTGGAGTGAAGAAGAGCAGGATGTGAGTGTGGGGGAGGTGCATGAGGCATTACGTAGAACAAAAGAGGTAGAGCAGCTGGAACTGACGGGATAATGACAGAAATGTTAAAAGCAGGGGGGGATATAGTGTTGGAATGGTTGGTATTTTTGTTTAATAAATGTATGAAAGAGGGGAAGGTACTTAGGGATTGGCAGAGAAGGGGGACAAAAGAGATTGTAAAAATTATAGAGGAATAAGTTTACTGAGTATACTAGGAAAAGTGTATGGTAGGGTTATTATTGAAAGAATAAGAGCAAAAACAGAACGTAGGATTGCGGATGAGCAAGGAGGCTTTAGAGTGGGTAGGGGATGTGTAGATCAATTGTTTACATTGAAGCATATAGGTGAACAGTATTTATAAAGGTAGGGAAGTTTTCATTGCATTTATGGATTTGTAAAAGACATATGATGAGAGTAGATAGGGGAGCAATGTGGCAGATGTTGCAAGTACTTGGAATAGGTAGTAAGTTACTAAATGCTGTAAAGAGTTTTTATGAGGATAGTGAGGTTCAGGTTAGGGTGTGTGGAAGAGAGGGAGACTACTTCCCGGTAAAGGTGGGTCTTAGACAGGGATGTGCAATGTCACCATGATTGTTTAATATATTTATAGATGGGGTTGTAAAAGAAGTAAATACTAGGGTGTTGGGGAGAGGGGGGGATTAAATTATGGGGAATGAAATGCAAAATAGGAATTGACACACTTACTTTTTGCTGATGATACTGTGCTTATGGGAGATTCTAAAGAAAAGTTGCAAAGGTTAGTGGACGAGTTTGGAAGTGTGTGTAAAGGTAGAAAGTTGAAAGTGAACATAGAAAAGAGTAAGGTGATGAGGGTATCAAATGATTTAGATAATAATTGGATATCAGATTGGAGAGGAGTATGGAAGAAGTGAATGTTTTCAGATATTTGGGAGCTGACGTGTCAGTGAATGGATTTATGAAGGATGAGGTTAACCATAGAATTGATGAATGAAAAATGGTGAGTGGTGCGTTGAGGTATATGTGGAGACAAAAAACATTATCTTTGGAGACAAGAAGGGAATGTATGAAAGTATAGTGGTACCAACACTCTTGTATGGGTGTGAAGCTTGGGTTGTAAATGCTGCAGTGAGGAGGCGGTGGAGATGTTCTGTCTAAGGGCAGTGTGTGGTGTAAATATTATGCACAGAATTCGGAGTGTGGAAATTAGGAGAAGGTGTGGAGTTAATAAAAGTATTAATCAGAGGGCTGAAGAGGGGTTGTTTAGGTGGTTTGGTCATCTAGAGAGAATGGATCAAAGTAGAATGACATGGAGAGCATATTAATCTGTAGGGGAAGGAAGGCGGGGGTAGGGGTCGTTCTCGAAAAGGTTGGAGGGAGGAGGTAAAGGAGGTTTTGTGGGTGAGGGGCTTGGACTTCCAGCAAACATGCATGAATGTGTGAGATAGGAGTGAATGGAGATGAATGGTATTTGAGACCTGACGAGCTGTTGGGGTGTGGGCAGGGTAATATTTAGTGAAGGGATTCAGGAAAACCGGTTATTTTTCTATAACTGGACTTGAGTACTGGAAATGGGAAGTACAATGCCTGCACTTTAAAGGAGGGGTTTGGGATATTGGCAATTTGGAGGGATATATTGTGTATCTTTATACGTATATGCTTCTAAACTGTTGTGTTCTGGGCACCTCTGCAAAAACAGTGATTATGTATGAGTGAAGTGGAAGTGTTGAATGATGATGTAAGTATTTTCTTTTTGGGGATTTTCTTTCTTTTTGGGTCACTCTGCCTTGGTGGGAGATGGCCAGCTTGTTAAAAAAAAAAAAAAAAAAAAAAAAAAAAAAAATCATCTCTAGTGCCTCCAGCCTCTCTTCACTGTAACATTTAAAACCCATGCTGTGCACCCATACAAAAGTATTAGTAGCATTATACTCTGGTACATTCCCCATTTTGCCTCCATTGATAAAATTCTTTTATCTCCACAGATGCCTCAGTGCACCACCTACTTTTCTTTTTTTTTTACCTTCATCAATAATGTGGTTCACCTCATCTCTCCCAGAACCATATGCACTAAAAATGTTTTATAGTTTCCAAATCAGTCTTTCAGTATAGACAAACTGTCTATGCATTATTTCTCTTGAATCTTGTCATAGTAGCTTTAAATATTTGATGTACTGGAGCTGTTTGCTTATTAGACTTTTTTTTTTTTTTTTGCTGTTTGTTTTGTCCACCATTAATGGCTTTATCCAGTATTTTCATAAAAGTAAACATGGTACCTGTCAGCAAGACATGCCTATAGGGTGGCCTTTTTTAATATTAATGCAATGTTTAATCATCTTTAGATATTTTCAGCTACTGAAATGTATGACAGATACTGCATTCAGTTTTCACTTCAGTGCTTAATATTTTATTTTTTGAAGAGCTTTCATAATTAATTTTTGCATGCAAAGCGTATTAAGCTCATATTACACTCCTTCCTCCACAGAGAACAAGTAATCCAAATTTCCTCTCCACTGTAAGTTTTCGCAAAAGTGATGGGTTGGATGCCAATACACAAGTTCGACTGGCTGTGTACGATGTGAGGGAGAGAGTCACCAACACTACCACTCAACTGGGTCAAGCAATGGTAAGGAAGAGCAGTTATTTAATATCATATATTTTTCATCACTCATTACATGGAAGAGTGCACCACATCACACACAAACTAGCTTAGTTCCTAAAATTCTTTACCCAAAATGTCTTAACCTTTGAAGTGTTTACTGATTTACAACAGAGTGGGAAACTGTTTGTGTATAAATCTAAAAATTTAATTTTAACTTGCTTAATGTATGACAGGACATATTTTGCTGATGACAGTCATCTTAAATTTGATGTGCCTGCATTATAGGCCTCTCACGTTATGAAGTAAGCAGAACATAGATTAAGTGAACTACCTTGTGAGGGTGGTTTCTTCATGCTAACTGTACTAGCTAACAAAAAGTTCACTCTTGTCAAAATATGTTCACTAACATCTATACTTGCCAGTCATTCAAATGTATGAAATGTTCATTTTGGAAAATATCAATAGAATATAACTTTGTAGTCCCTGGCTGGTAGATGCAGAATGTTAATGATGACTATGTTTATGATATAAAATTATCTGGTCAAATACATTAAAGTGTACAGTTCTGTGATGGGACTTGAATACCAACCATGACTGTCCTTCTATGATAGATGCACTATCTTGCTTATAGAGGTTAGTTTACTTTTGTATTTGTAGGTGAGTCTTGGTGGGTTGCTCGAGACTGGTCGGTCACGTCTTAGTTTGCAGTCACCTCTCGGCCGGAACGTGGGCTTCATTACCATAACAGCCTGGACACTAGAAGCAGAGTCTGTAGATGCTTCTACACATACACCCAGCAATGCAACACCACACCACCAGCCAGTAAGTGATCTTACTGAGTTATTTTCAGTTTTTATGTATTGGTATATTTTTAACCACATTGTGTACCAGTACATTGGCTGTACTGGTACACAATCTTCTAATATCTACACTCTCTGTTCTCTGCATAATTTTCACACTGCACCAGACATTGCCACTTCCTTGCTATAATATTCAAAAAGCATGTCTTCCACTTATACAAAAGTATTAATGTCTGTACCACTGTGTTATAGCACATTCCTCTCTGTGCCTCCATTCATGAACTCCTTTCCAATTATGCCTTAGAACTCTACCTACTTTTTTTTTTGTCCCTCAACTGATGCTGGATTTTTATTTATGGTAAAGAATGCAGTCATTTAAGTTGTAGAGGATAGAGAGTATATCAGAGTATATTGGTACCAACATTTTTATATAGATGCAAAACAGACTAAATGATGCAGCAAGGAGGAGGTTGGTGATAGTGCAGATACTAAGTTCAAGAACACTATGTGGTGTGAATGATATGAAGAGAATTTGCAGCGTAGAGATTAGAGAACAGAGTGGGGTTACCAGATTTATAATGCAGAGGTCTGAGAAAGAGTTGTTGAGGTGGTTTGGACAGGAAAAATGACACATAATAGGATGACAAAAAGGGCTTATAAATCTGGGGTGAAAGAAAGGATAGGGATCATCCCAGGAAAAGTTGAAGAAAGGAAGTAAAGGAAATTTTAGGATTGGGGTTTAAGCTTCCAGCAGGTATGTGTGAGCATTTTACATCAGAATGAGTGGAGAGTTTTTTTTTTATGGGACGACATGCTCTTAGAGTGTGAGCAAGATGACATTGATGAAGGAAATCGGGGAAATCAGTTAGTCGGATTTGAGTCCAGGAAGTTGGAAGTACATTGCCTGCACTTTGAACTGAAGAGGTTATTTAAACTGTGATGTCTGTTCACTTCTAGCAAGACAGTTATTGAATTAACAGTGACTAATGATTCATTTTTTTGGGGGGAGGGGAGGGGGGGACAGTCATTGTGATGAAAAAATATTGAAGAGATGGCAGGACCAGTATGCCCAGGGTTTGCTAACTCCTTCCTTTTTAAAAATTACTACATTACTAAATCCTGTATTAATTTTTTTATATAAATCTCATCCTGATTTTGAAAGCCTGTTAGGGTACAAGAAACTATACTAAAATTTCTAACTGATGACAGATGTTGCATTTCTTTGTGCCAGAGAGTAATGTTGACAATAATATTTTATTTTCATTCTTAGGCACCACCACCTGTTGCCTGTCACCGCCGCACACAGTCTCTCCCTCCACGACTCAGCTCCAAAACTAGACATCCCACCCAGGGGCACCTGAGTCTCCTGTATGACAATCCTACAATGGCCACCTTCAGGTTTCACTCTGGGCTTGGTGGTGACATAGCTGTCTTAGAGGTCATGGCAGAGAGTCGTTACTGCTTCACATTTCCCCAGCAGTTGCTGTATGTTTCATATTTATTATCTAGTTCTGAACTGTAACAATGCATATTGTACTATATTCCATGAAACCCTATAGCTGCCTGGGTCATTTAGCACAGGGAGTGTAGAGGCTTGATCCTTTGTCTGCTAATTGTGGCCCAGTCTCTGGCCAGTCAAACTGTTGGTGAAGTAGAGACTTGTTTATGAAAAAGCCACTGTAACCTCAGTTATGAAAAGTGAGGAAGATTGTTTGTCCATCAATTAAAAAAGTATTTTTTGGGGTTTTGAAGTTTCATAAGTTTGAAGGCTTAGTAAACTACATTTAAAGCTAATAATATTGGAGACATCTCTAAATATATTCTTCCATCAGAGGATACAAGTCTTTGCTTCCATGGCTTTCCACAAGGGATACTTTCTGTGAGATAACCTTATTAAACACAGGTGTGGTGTTAGTAGTAAGAGACAACCTTACTGAAAGCGTTTGTGAAGTTGGTAGTTAGAGAGCACCCTAATCTTTTAACCGTGTCCTGTGTACTGGTATTCAGGTGATGTCAGTGTGTCCGACATCATAGTATACATGATTTTTTGTACCTTCAAATCTGCCCCCTGCCAATATTTTTGACATCGGCACAACTCTCTGGGTCTTCTACAAGCTCCTCATACCTTTGAAAAACATCTAAGGCCAGGCAGGTCCCCACAGTGCATCATACTTAACTATACAGGTGATGACTGTGTGTCTTGTGTACAAATACGCCTAACGAGCATAAGTAAATAATGAAATCAAAAGCTGTTGCCATACTGTGAGCTTCCCTACCAGCCAGTAAGGTGTGGAAGTGGCATAAAAATGACTTATTCATTCCAGATTTATTATAGTTTCATGTTACTAACAGTGGAATTCAGCCACAAAGCACAGTAAGAAGATTAAACCCATGAAAAACCCATAAATCAGACATTGTGACTTATTTCCCTGTTTCATTGAGTATTACACCTTGAAACAATTGTAATATCATAGGATTTTGTTGTAAATATGTTTTACAGTAGTCTGGGATTTTGTTGTAAATATGTTTTACAGTAGTCTGGAAGGCACACAGGTGTTATGGGCACAGACTTTATTATAACCCAAGATATTCCCTCGAACCTAATTTTTTATTTTAACACACTGGCTGTCTCCAACTGAGGCAGGGTGACCTGAAAAAGAAACACTTTCAGCATCATTCACACTATCATTGTTTTGCCAGAGGCACTCAGTATGACAGTTTAGATGTCCCATTCCTTCAGCATGCAGGCACTACACTTCCCATCCCCAAGATTCATGCCTGGCTAACTGGTTTCCCTGAATCTCTTCACAAAATGTTGAATTGCTCACACTCCAACAGCTTGTGAAGTTCCAAAAATCATTTGTCTTCACTAACTCTTATCTAACATGCTCACACTTTCCTGCTGTATGTCCAAGCCCCTTGCACACAAAACCTCCTTTACCCCCCTCCCTCCTTTATGACCCCTACCCTGCTTTCCCTCTATTACAGATTTATACACCCTCCAAGTCATCCTCTTTTACTCCATCATTTCTAAATGACCAAACCACCTCAACGACTCCTCCTCAACCCTCTGGAAAATACTTTTGGTAACTCTGCACTCCCTCCTAATCTCCAAACTACAAATTCTCTGCATAATATTTATGCTGCACATTGCTCTCAGACACTGCATCTCCACTGCCTCCAGCCTCCTCCTCACTACAATATTCACAACCTGTGCTTCATGTCCATATAAGAGTATATTTACCACTATATACGTACTCATACATTCCCCTCTTTGCCTCTGTGGATAACATTCTTTGTCTCCACAGGCAAGTTAATGCACCATCAACCTTTTTCCCTTCATCAATTCTATAGTTTACCTCATCTTTCATATAATAATATATAATGAACACATTCACTTCCTCCATACACCCTCTCTCCAATCTGATATCCAATTTTTCCTTACCTGAATTGTTTGATATCCACATCATCTTACTCTTATCTGTGTTCACTTTCAATTTCCTTCATTTACATATCCTCCCAAACTCATTCGCCAACCTCTGCAACTTCTATTCAGAATCTCCCAAAAGTACAGTATCATCAGCAAAAAGTAACTGTGCCAATTCCCATTTTGTATTAGATTCTGCACATTTTAATCCCACCCCGTTTCCCCAACACCCTAGTATTTACCACTTTTACAACTGCATCTATAAATATGTTAAATAACCATGGTGACATTACACATCCCTGTTTAAAGCCTACTTTTACCACTTCTCTCCTACATACCCTAACCTAAGCCTCACTATCCTCATGAAAACTCTCTACAGCATTTCCTAACTTACCACCTATTCCATACACTTGCAACATCTGCTACATTGATTCCCTTTTTACCCTATCATATGCCCTTTTGAAATCCATAAAAGCAATAAAAATTTCCCAAAATTTTACTAGATTTTGTTCACTCATTTGCTTTAATGTAAACATTTGGTCTACACATCCCCTAAAGCTTCCTTGCTCATCTGCGATCCTGCTCTCTGTCTTACCCTTAATTCTTTCAATAATAACCCTACCATTCACTTTACCTGGTATGCTCAGTAGGCGTATTTGTACACACACTTTTTTCCCCATTCCCTTATGTAAAGGAACTATTCACACTCTCTGCCAGTCCCTAGGTACCTTCCCCTCCTTCATACATTTATTGAACAAAAGTATCAACAACTCCAAAACTATATCCCCACCTGCTTTTAACATTTCTGTCTTGATCCCATTAATCCCAGCTGCTTTACCCCATTTCATTCTACCCACAGCCTCACACATCTCCCCTACACTCGCATCTCGCTCTTCTTCACTCATAAAAAATATTATACCTCCCTGACCAATGCAAGAAGACACTGCTTCTCTATCTTCATCAACATTTAACAGTTTCCCAGAATATTCCCTCCTTCCCAATACCTTCAACTCCCCATCTACTGACTCTCCTATTCTGTTTTTAACTGTCAAATCCATTTGTTATCTAGGCTTTCTCAGTCTATTTATCTCACTCCAAAACTCTTTCTTATTCTCATCAAAATTTGTCAACACCTCACCCACTTTGTTCTCCTTTTACATTCCCTCGCCACTCTCTTCACCCCTCTTTTACTCCCCATATACTCCTCCCTTCTTATTTAACTTTTGCTTTGTAAAAACCTCTCATCTGCCAAGTTTTTCTACCTTATCACCCCCCCCCCATCCCTTTACCTCGTCGTTCCACCAATCACTCCTCTTCCTCCTGCATTCACCCTCCTATATCCACATGCTTCTGCCCCACATTCTAACACTATCCCACACCCCTTCAACCCATGCACTACCTATGCTCTCATTATCCTTTCTCCCAATAGTTGCTTATATCCCACCATAACTTCCTCCTCTCTGGTTCATAATCTCAGTATTAAATTGAGAGGGCCACCAGATGGCAACACATTTTTCAAGTGAAAATACCCAGGTGTTGTACATGTGTCATTCTTTTCTGCTCATGGGCATTATATACCAATAATAATGATTCTTTTCGTTTAGCGTGCACGAGTGACTCCTCAACAATGTTCCAGTCCATTCACTGTGAGTGGGCAGCTTGTCTTTGTTGGCAACCTGTGAGTTGGCAGCTTGTCCTTGTTGGCAACTTGTCCTTGTTGGCAACCTGTGAGTGGGCAGCTTGCCCTTGTTGGCAACCTGTGAGTGGGCAGCTTGTCCTTGTTGGCAACCTGTGAGTGGGCAGCTTGTCCTTGTTGGCAACCTGTGAGTGGGCAGCTTGTCCTTGTTGGCAACCTGTGAGTGGGCAGCTTGTCCTTGTTGACATCCTGTGAGTGGGCAACTTGTCCCTGATGGCAACCTGTGAGCAAGCAGCTTGTCCTTGTTGGCAGCCTGTGAATGAGCAGCTTGTTCTTGTTGGCAACCTGCAAGTGGGCAGCTTGTTCTTGTTGGCAGCCCGTGAGTGAGCAGCTTGTCCTTGTTGGCAACCTGTGAGCAAGCAGCTTGTCCTTGTTGGCAACCTGTGAGCGGGCAGCTTGTTCTTGTTGGCATCTTAGCCTATACCATAATTTACAGATCCCTTCACTGTGAGTGGACAGCTTACTCTTGTTGGGTATCAAGTTTATATCATAATTAACATGGTTTAAGGCAAACTAACGTTTCAAAATTTTCATTATTCATGTCTTCAACAAGGTGTCTTGATGCTGGTGAAGGGCTCTTGATCAAAAGAATTCAGGCTATCCTTTCCTTCTTCAGATAATCCTGATTATCTTCACCCCAGGCACTGTATAACCCCCTGTGGATGTAATGCATCTCCATAAGAATAATAATCATTATTCAGGCGATTGTGGATCTCTGAGGAAAGACGATGGCAGGAAGAGCTCTCATCACTGGGAGACTTAGCGGACCAGTGGCACACCAGACAGATGGCACTGCTCAATCAACACGTGACACTCATCAATATCTATAACATGGCTCTTGATACTCTGGATGTTGCTGCACATTCAGGTAGGATTATTTTGTATTGATTTTACTCTGTTTTAATAAAAAAAAATTTTGTGCTCTTTTGGTTATACAGCAGGACCCCTGTTTCTGCAGGGGATACATTACAAGACCTACAGTGGATACTGAAACTGTGATAGTAGCAAACCCTATATATGAGTCATTTTTTGTTTACATACATGCCTATGATGTTAAGTTTTGGAGAAATGTAGGGATGGAGGCTGGAAGCAAGGTGGTATGATGGTTACCATGTGGGTGGCAGTGTTGGTGGCTTAATGTGGGTGGTAGTGTGGATGATGGGTGACTGAGTGGGCGAGTGTGAAGTTGGTGTGGGCAGTAATTAGGATGGCTGGTGTCTGCATGACTAGGAGTGTAGATGGCATGTTAGGGTGTGTGGGCATGGGGTTGTGAGGGCTAGAAGCTGCAGGGAAGTGGTGAGTGAAAGAATGAGTAAGGTGTGAGCCGTGTGAGCTTGAAGCTGTGGGGAGTGGTGTGGATGAAAGGTGTGCTTATCAGTGGCCTGGTGTGGGTGGTGATTGGATGATGGTCAGTTGTGCAGCTGGTGGTAATGAGCGTGGTGGGTAACTTAAGTGATTAGGTATGTGGACGACATGTTAGGGTGAAAGGTCAGGTAAGGTGTGTGTGTGAGGTCATAGGGTATATGTGCCCTACTGTATTTTTTTTCTGTGGTACAGTTTATATCACTGATTATTTTTAATTCTTTAAGAGGGTATATGGATCTAGGGTGAAGGGAAGGAGGGGTAGGGGTCATCCAAGGAAGGGTTGGAGGGAAGGGGATAAAAGAAGTTTTGATTGCTAGGGGCTTGAACATCCACCTTGCTTGTATGAGCACATTAGATTGGAGTGAGTAGAGGTCAGTGGTTTTTCATGATTTAATATGCTGTTCAAGTGTAGGCAAGATAGCATTTATGAAGGGATTCAAGAAAACTGGTTAGTTGGACTCAAGTCCTGGAAGTGGAAGGACAGTGTCTGCACTCTGAAGGAGGGGTGAGGATGTTGTAGTTTGGAGGGTCATCTAAACTGTGATGTCAGCATACTGCTGGCAAGGCATCAGTTGAATGAATGATGGTACATGTATTTCCTCATTTTTAGGTCAGTGGGAGATGGCAATTGTGTTACAGTAATGATAATGCACAGTGCATTGCACTGCAGTAGTAGTAGCATCATTTTTTTATTTGATTCTAATAACATACAATTAATATTCTTCCATCATTGTTAATCAAAACAGATTTTCTACATAAAGGCATTTTTTTCTCATTTGTTGCCCTTGAGGTTACGAATTATAGTAAGTCATTCTTTTTAGTCTTAAACTCTACCATCAGGACCATTTAACACTTTCACTGTCTCACATAGATCTATGATAGATCTGTGTCACTGATGCCAGTATTGTTTACATAAATCTATCTTAATTATAGTATTCTTAAATATGCTGTGATCAGTAAATTTTGGTTTAGTCATCAGAGAATGGGTGTTGGCAGTGGGTGTGCACAGTATAAAAGAAATCCTGACTTTGTATTTGGGTTAAAATGGCCACTTTCAGGCATTTTCTAAGATGTTTTTATGGTTTTGGTTGCTGTTGCTTCATGTCCAGTGATAGAATGGAGGACATGCTAGTGAAATGGAGATGATTTTGGTTGGAAGTGGCCTGAAATAGGCCTCCAAATAGCAGACATATTTAATTTCTGGTAATTTTCCTAAGGAAGGGTAGGGTTTCACCTATCATTCTCCCTTGGTCTGTTTTATGGGTTTTTACTAGGTCCACTTCAATTTTTTGGGTAGCCTAAACCATGACCAAACTGCAGGGAAAGTTTTACATAGAAGAGACCTGAGGGCATGATTAATGAAGAGAGGAAAGGTTGCTTATATGGCTGGAATTCCTACACTGTTTAGTTTATATTTTGTTTATAAATTGGAATTTGTTCAATATTGTGTAAAATTAGTTAAATTACCAACTTCTGGACATTTTATAGGGTAGTTAATATAGTTGAATGAGAAGTTTCTTTTACACAATCAATAGAACAAAAGACACACTAGTGAAATAGCCTAAATGAGAGAAATCACAGTTGTGCCTGTATAATTCTGCAAGTTTTTCATCAAAATTTGCATTTTTGGTGCCATTACCTTTTACCTTTAAAAAAAGATACTCTATAATTTTAGAATTTTTTTTTTTTTAAGTTGTGACTCTGATAGGACTTTTAATTTTGGAAGTCACAACAGTGAAAGGGTTAATAAAATTATATACACGTATCGCACATCTTTAGTTATCTGGAGAGACCCAACATACTCCCTCAATTGTCTGTTATAAATTAACATGTAAGCATATCTAGTTTATGTAAAATTTTTAGTGAATGCCAGTACAATGGAATCTCAGTTTTACATTTGCCCTGGTTTTTGTTGAATTCGGTTTTCGATGACTTTTTCGTCAGAATTTTGTCCCAGTTTTCGTTCATCACCTCGGTTTTCGTCAGTCCACTGTACCGAGTGTGTCCGCCTTCCCACACCAACACAAAGGATCCCACGTGTTCTGAGTCAGTCTGGCTTTGTTTCTCGTCGAGCGAGCATTACCCTGAGCATTCATCCGAAACATTTCATAATAATCCATTGTTTTCTGTGCTTGTTTATTGAGTGCAACTGCTAAATAAGCCACTATGGGGCTAAAGAAAGTTCTGAGTGCCAGCCTTTGATAAAGAAGGCGAGAAACACGATAGAATTCAAGAAAGAACTCGTAGCAAAGTACGGGGTTGGATGTGAGTGGCCAGGATGTGGAAGAGTTGGTGGATGGCCACAGGGAAGAGCTAACCACTGAAGAGCTGCAACACCTTCAACCTTTAAGCAGCAGCAGATTGCAGCTGAGGAAATTGCTTCAGAGGAGGAGGAAGAGAGAGGGGAGAATGTGCCTTCTTCAGTGATTAAGGACATGTGTGCAAAGTGGAGTGAGTTGCAAAGTTTTGTGGAGAAATATCACCCTAACAAAGCTATTGCAAGCTGTCTCTGCAGTATGTTCAGTGACAATGCCTTGTCCCATTTTAGGCAAGTCTTAAAGCAATGCCAGAAACAGACCTCGCTGGACAGATTTTTTATACAGCAAGGGTCCAGTGCCAGTAAAAGACAAAGAAGGGAAGTAACCCCAGATAGGGACTTGATACCTGAAGTTCTTATGGAGGGGGATTCCCCTTCCAACCAATAGCCTCTCTCTCTTCCCCCTCCCCTCCTCGCATCTTCCATACACCAACAAGAGTCTTCAATAAAGGTAAAAGTGATATTAAATGTTCATTTATATTCTCATTGTTTTCTGTATGTAAAACTATAGTTATTCTCTATAAAATGTATTTTTTGTTAATACTTTTGGGTGTCTGGAACGGATTAATTGGATTACATTATTTCTTATGGGAAATATTGCTTCAGTTTTCATCGAATTCAGTTTTCGCCAGACTTTCTGGAACGAATTAATGACAAAAACCGAGGTTCCACTGTACGTATGAGGATTTTATTATCAGTGTTATAATTCACTGTAGGTGTTCTGTAGTGTGAAAGTATTAATTAATTTTATTTTTGTATGAGTCAGTATGTGTGTTGGCTGATTCAAGTGTTCTGGAGTCATGCTGAACCAACCGTGTTAGAATAATTTATTAGTAAAAGTGCTTATTATATATTTGGTTGCTATTCAAGGGTCAAGCTTAAAGAAAAGTATGGACAAAGGAGAAACATCACTGGAAATGGCTCCAACAAATCTTCACCTTCAAAGACTTTGGGCTCAAAATGAATCTCTCCGACGCTCCGGATTTTATGACGTCATTACAAGTGGTGTCTTCAGTGCCTATTCACAGGGCTATAAGAATGGAGGTCTGGTCAAGTGAGTCAAAGAACTGGATGTTGTATGGGTCTTCCCATTAAATTTTATAGAATGTAACCATGAGCATAAGACATGATTATAAAAATTATCCCACATGGAGAAAATATGTATATGAGAAGGTAAGAGTAATTTGCATAATATTCTCCATGTAATATTGCTTGTACTATTAACCATTGTTTATTACACCTTTGTGTTGAGATAATACAGGATACATGATAACCAAAAAAATACCAGGCCCGGTGGCCTGGTGGCTAAAGCTCCTGCTTTACACACGGAGGGTCAGGGTTCGATTTCTGGCGGGTGGAAACATATCAATGTGTTTCCTTACACCTGTTGTCCTGTTCACCTAGCAGCATATAGGTACCTGGGTGTTAGCCGACTGGTGTGGGTCACATCCTGGGGAACAAGATTGAGGACCCCAATGGAAATAAGTTAGACAGTCCTCGATGATACACTGACTTTCTTGGGTTATCCTGGGTGGTTTACCCTCAGAGGTTAAAAATCCGAACGAACTCTTATCTTAATTTATGTTGATATAATTAACTGTTAGATTAACCCTTTGACTGTTTCAGGCCCCTCTCTGAAACTGTCATTCTATGTCGCTCAATTTTTGAAAAAAAAAAAAATTATTTTTTCTTATGAAATGATAGAGAATCTTTTCCCGATGGTAATGACACCAAAAGTTCGAAATTTGGTCGAAAACTCGTGGAATTATGCTCCCGCGAAGTTAGCGGTCTCGGCGACATATGCGTATCGGCGATTTCGCCGACTTTGAGCCCAATTTTCAGCCAATTCCATTGTTCCAGTTGACCAAACTCATAGCTATTTCTTTAGAACTCCATTTTATCTATCAGCTGAGTACAAGAAACCTCCCATTTACTAATTTGGACTACCCAATATGGTGGTCAGAAATTGGCAATTTGGCCAATTTCACGCAAAATAAAAAAGATGCCAATTTCAAAATAGGGTCCAGAATAAACAAGGTAGACATTCGTGGCACTAAAATAACATATGCTCTGTTCATTAGTCACATCTCTAGCCCCCTCTTATATTATTATTGCTTTCTATTTTGATTTTTTATTCATACAAAAAAATACAAAATTTACTGTTATGCAGACGACTGCATTATTGTAAAAATGGTATAAATAATATCAGTGCACTAGTGAAAGAATATTAGACTCCCCAGTTGACGTGTATTGGACGTGTGGTGTGATTTATTTACTCTTGAACATTGGTAAAAATCGAACATTTCCGCTACTTTGAGCTCAGTTTCAAGTCGTTTCATCATAAAAGTAATGAAAATCATCTCTATTTCTGTAATATGTTTTCCATTTTATCACCTAAGACCATGAAAACGCGAATACAACGATAAATACTATACGAAAATACACCTCAAAGTCGGCGTTTTATTCCAAAAAAACGATCAGAGTTTTTTTTTTCTCATTACGCAATGTGTGCTGCAGGATTTTTTTTATGTGGTGCACACTGACCACACAGACCCATTCTCTCACATGTGGGCCTACCAGCTTTCTCCCACTTGATTTGAAGCCGCTAGAATTATTGAGTATATATACGTCAGAAACATTGGCTCGTAAGACGTATTTATACGTCGAAAACAGTCAAAGGGTTAAGACTGCAACCATGTAATGACTATTATATCTTTGTCCTAGCTTATGTCTGCCCCCCATTGCTGTACATAACTGTGGGCTTTTGAAATTGTGCATTCCTTCCTTCCTTTATTGTGCTTAACAGACATTGACCTATCTCTGTAGAGGCCATTAGGCCAGAGGCACCCTTCTGGTTGTCTTGACAAATAGTCACCTGTCAGCTAAGAAGGGATAAGGAAGAAATAAACCTGTCTCCCTAACTGTTAGGAAACAAGTGTGTTACTGCAATGTGGAAATGTGGATTATCAATGTGTAATTTAAGCTGATGTTAGGCTTTCCGTGTTAAAAAAAAAATTACTTTCAGTGCAGGCAGCACAGGTTATAGATGAAAGCATAGGAGAGGTTTGTTGAGTGAAAAGAGAGGCAGAAAGGCAAGTTTACATGCATGAAATATGGTAGCTGGAAGGGACCACAAGTCATTAAATAAGACAAAATATGTTGCTTTTATACATTAGAATATGTATGGTCACAAATAGAGAAACTTATCACTTCATTTAAGTTTATTGCTTGAAGTGAGTCAGGGAGTTAACAGTGTTTGGGAATCATCATAAAGGAGGTCCAGGCAGACTGGAGGGTGATAAGGAGGGCCATGGAGGAAGAGGCAAGATGCAGGGATGTGGAGGATGGATATAATTCTGCTGCAGGGACGTCTTGTTGGTTGATGTAAGGTTGGAAGTGAGAGGTGAATTAGGTACGTAGGTTGAATTGGGATAGAGGCACAACCAAGCATGGTAAGAGATAGGACAGTCCATGAAGATAGGGCTGAACTTACTGGAAATAGCCATGTTTGTCCACTGATTTTGCCACAGGTGTAGTAATTTCTTCCCCAAAGAGAGTAGTGGTTCCAGTTCTTGGGGAACTGAAGAAATCCCCTCTAGCTCTGAGGCCAACTTAGTGAGGGGTATCAGCCTGATAATTTGTACACTATCATCTTACTCACTGTACTAGTAATAGTATAGTAATGTTAGTAGTATATTATTATTTTTATTGTTGTTGTTATCCATCATCATCAGTCCTCATCATTCATCATCATCATCATAATCATTATCATCATTTTCATCATCATTTTCATCATTATCATCATTATCATCATTATTATTATTATTATTATTTATTATTATTATTATTATTATTATTATTATTATTATTATTCATATGATATACTCTTCCTATTTTTCAGTATGCTTCAGAAAGCCAAGAGCTCACGAAGAACTCCAGGTGGGGGTGACAAGGCCTGGGCTAGTGAGGCTGCAGTGGAAGGTGTCAAAAGACTGAGACAAGAAGTGACAACACTTCTTCGAGCTCTGTTAGTCTCTCTAAGGCAAGAGGATACTGACACACTTGCTAAACTTCTCCTGAAATTACAAGAAAAAGTACGTAACATTTTTACAGTAAATGTTCATGCTCACAAAGGTATACTTTCCTGAGGTTTCATTAATGCCAGATCAGTGATTAACACTAAGCATCACCATGTTATATGGATAATGTTTAAATTAATGCACAGATGACATGAGGTGAGGACAGAGTTTGTGCTCTATTATTTGATCTACAAGGAGCAGAACCTCAGCTGCATCCAGGGAAATCTGGTTAAATGTAAAGTCACTTTTATTTTTTTGATAGAACACAATTGTTGTGAGTATTTACATATAATACAATATTCTTTGAGCCAGTAATAATTGTACTTTACATATTTAAAATTAAATTTAAAGAAAATAAATTCAAAATTTTTTTATTTGGAAAAATTTGCTTTGGGAATTGTCTACAAAAACACCTAATTTTGACTTCCTCAGTGGCCCACCTATTTTTCCCCCCTCCCCTCACATATTCTGTGATTGATATAATTTTTCATACCTCCATTACCACTCCCAAAATTATGCAGTGGACCCTCGGTTGTCGACCGTTCCAGATATCGGCCAACTCGGTTATTTCCCATTTTTTAGGCTGAAATTTTATTCTGGTTATTGGCCATTATTTCGCTTATCGGCCGTATTGGATGCGTCCACCCACCCACCCGCCAGCTGCTCATGAGTCAGTCTGGCTGTGTGTCTGGGCGAGTGAGGAAACTTCTGGTTATTCATCCAAACATTTCGCTATAATCCATTGTTTTTTGTGGTTATTGATTGAGTGCAATTGCGAAATAAGCAACCATGGGCCCAAAGAAAGTTCCTAGTAAAGTTCCTTTGGTAAAGAAAGTGAGAAACACGATGGAATTTAAGAAAGAAATTGTTGAAAAGTATGAGAGTGGTGTTCGAGTGCTAGAACTTGCCAGGATGTGTGGGAAATCCAAATCAACAATCACTTCCATCCTGGCAAAGAAAGTAGAAATCAAGGAAGCTAATGTTGCAAAAGGGAGTTTAGCAGGGAATGTAGTGGGAAGGCAGGACCCCAATGGAAATAAGTCACTCTGTCTGACTTTTTTGGGTTATCCTAGGTTCTTTACACACATGCTGTGGAAGGGAGGCAGGGAGTGTGGCATGGAGGGAGGGAGTGTAGCAGGCAGACAGGGAGTGTAGCATGGTGGGAGGGAGTGTTGTAGGCAGGCAGGGAGTGTAGCAGGGAAACAGGGAGTGTGGAAGGGAGGCAGGAAGTGTAGCAGGCAGGCAGGGAGTGTAGCAGGCATGCAGGGAGTGTAGCAGGCATGCAGGGAGTGTAGCAGGCAGGGAGGGAAGTAGCCTCAGAGAGGGCTTTGATACCTAGTCCTTATGGAGGGGGATTCTCCTTCCTAACAATAATCAGTCCTCCCTCTCTCCTCTTCTCTGTCTTCCATAAGCCAACAAGAGTCTTCAATAAAGGTATGAAATAGTGATTTAAATGTTCATTTATTTATTTTATTTAGTTCTCATTGTTTTGTGTATGTAAAACTATAATTAATCTTTAAAAAATGTAGTTTTTGTTAATATTTTTGGATGTCTGGAATGAATTAATTGTACAGTGGTCCCCCGACCTACAATATTAATCCGTTCCTGAGAGCCCATTGTAAGACAAAATGATCGTAGATTGAATTAATTTTCTTCTTCTTCTTTCAACGTACCAGCCATATCCCACTAAGGTGGGGTGGCCCAAAAGGAAAAACAAAAGTTTCTCCTTTTAAATTTAGTAATATATACATGAGAAGGGGTTACTAGCCCCTTGCTCCTGGCAATTTTTTTTTTTTAGTCACCTCTTATGACATGCATGACTTACGGAGGAAGAATTCTGTTCCACTTCCCCATGGAGAGAATTAATTTTCCCCATAAGAAATAATGGAAATCAGATTAATTCGTGCAAGACACCCAAAAGTGTGAAAAAAAAAATTTTTACCACATGAAATATACATATTCTACTCTACTAAATGAAGAATAAATGACACTTACCTTTATTGAAGATGCAGCAATGGCTGATGAGACACTGTGTCCTGGGAGTGCCTTTTCCTCCTGAGTAATGTAGGTCCTGTTTGGCATTTTCTTCCAGAACAGGCCTTATCACGCTGTGTATGTCACTACGATTCTTAAATCTTTCAAACCAACCTTTGCTGGCCTTAAATTCACTAATATGAGCACTAGTTCCAGGCATTTTTTCCTGTTTAACTGAGTGTTAGTCGACTGGTGTGGGTCGCATCCTGGGAGACAAGATTAAGGACCCCAATGGAAATAAGTTACAGCCCTCGATGACACACTGACTTTTTTGAGTTATCCTGGGTGGCTAACCCTCTGGGGTTTATTGTTTTTCGGTATTCTCGATAAGCCACACCAACAACGGTGCTACAGCAGCAGCAGCTGATGGTGCTACAGCAGCAGCAGCAGCTGATGGTGCTACAGCAGCAGCAGCAGCAGCAGCTGACGGTGCTACAGCAGCAGCAGCAGTAGCCACTGACGGTGCTACAGCAGCAGGAGCAGCTGACCGTGGTACGATGGACTCGATAATACACCTACCATCCGACTTACGACCGAATTCAGTTCCAAGAAACCGGTCGTAAGTCGAAATGGTCGTAAGTCGAACTTTACTACTGAATATCAACAAAACATTTTTGTAATGACTTTATTTTATTGTTTTATTTTGGTATTTCATGTTTTACTTTACTTTTTATGCTCTTAGTACTGTATTTTATACTGTAAGGTTTAGGATAAACACTGTGTACAACACAAATAGTTGTTTATTTCCCAGAAATTTGGCATAAAAAACACGGTCGTAAGTCGAGCAGGTCGTAAGTCAGATTGTAGGTGTATTTCTCACCCTTTTTACCACAGGGTTGGCACTAGAAGCTTTCTTTGGGCTCATGGTGGCTTATTTAGCAGTTAGAAGCACTGAAAACACGAATAATACAAAATATTCCGAATGTATGCTTGGGAGCGACCACTCTGCCTTGTAAACATTGGCATACTAACTGACGGCAGGCCAGCTGAGGTGCGCTCAGGCGGAAAGACATGTGGACGCGTACCGGACGAATGCTGTAGGTCGAGTTTTTCAACGTACATCGGGGTCAAATTTTTACGCTGAAAAGCATCGTAGATCGGTTTTGACGTAGGTTGGGTACATTGTACGTCGGGGGTCCACTGTATTTACAATAATTCTTATGTGGAAATATTATTTCAGTTTTAGGCCATTTCGGTTTTAGGCCAACTTTCTCGAACGGATTACGGCTGATAACCAAGGGTCCACTGTACATTTACTCTTCCATTCTCCCTTATTTTAATCTGATGTCTAGTCTTTCATTATCTAGACTTTATTTTACTTTTCATCACTTTCAGCTTCCTTCTTTTACACAGCCATAAATTTCTGAATCTATTTCTGTGCAGAGGTAATTGACCTACAGATTATTCTTATATTAACTACACAGTACGTAAATTACACATTGAATTATAAAAAATAACAGACCTAAAATAAGTCTGTGTCCATGAGAATGGTTGTCATTGATTCTCGTAAATGTTATACGTGTACTGCAAACACTTACTGTTAAAGGCTTATTCTTGTAGGGAAATACAGAGGTCCCCAGTGTATGAGTAATGTGTTCTTAACACTTTTTGTTACTCGGGTGCTCAACACTCAGAACCTCCTTTTACATTACACCAATATTGTAACCATAGATGAGTTCTTCATCAGTAATATTCTGTTTCTAATCTCATTTAATTTTTAAAAATAAATTTAAAAAAAAAACAATATATAGTACTTACATGAGTTCCTCTCTCTTCCCTTTCCATAAAGACCCTCTCCCACTCACATTCCTGTCTTTCTCCTATTCCACCCCTCTTCATTTTCTTCACTCCTCTCCCATTCCTTATGTTCCTCTCTCTCTCTCCTTATATCTTACACAGCACTCTTTACATATACTTTCAACCCTCTCACCATTGTAGTTAAGGGGGGCAAGTGTCTGGGCATGTGGTGTGACAGGGTTGTGGTTGAGGGGATAGTGTTTGGATGTACTGTATGGTGTGGCAGGGTTGTGGTTGAGGGAAGTGCAAACATGAGAGGCAGTAGCAGCATGACTGCCTCCTTCTCTCTCATTCCCTCCCTCTGTCATATCTGACACAACACTGCAAACATAGATTGAGCACCCTCTCCATTTTATAGTGAGGGTAGTGGGTACTCGGGTATGTGTCAGGGAGGGTTGTCAGTAAGGAATGTGTCAGGGAGGATTGTGTCAGGGAGGGCTATGTCAGGCAGGGTTGTATCAGGGAGGGTTGTGGCAGCTAGGGCTGTAGCAGTGAGGGTTGTGGCAGGGAGGGTTGTCACAGGCAGGGTTGTCACAGGCAGGGTTGTCACAGGCAGGGTTGTCACAGGCAGGGTTGTCACAGGCAGGGTTGTGGCAGGAAGAGTAAGCTTGTACCTTAGCAGCAACATATAAAGTTTGATCATATACTGGACAAGACTGCCCAGTGGCCCATCAGACATACTTATTCATTCTACATTTCCTGACTAATTTCTGCCAAATATGTCAGACCTCAACACCTGCATAAAGTGAATAAGAACAAAATATCAGTGTCTTTCTTTCAACACACTGGCCATATCCCACCGAGGCAGGGTGGCCCAAAAGGAAAAACGAAAGTTTCTCCTTTTACATTTAGTAATATATACAGGAGAAGAGGTTACTAGCCCCTGTAGACAGCCTGCATTGTCTGCACAGACAGCCCATGCTGTCTGCCAGCTTAGTTCATATTTCGTGCCATGCTGGTGCTGCCACCTATAGGCATTGCCACTTCAGCCTGCCTGCCCTTACCTCACTCTCACAGCGGCCTAGCAGGAAGACACAAGGCCTACTCCTAGCTCTCTCTCGTGGGATGGCCCTGCCCGGGCCATGGGCACAACACACAAGCCTGTGTACCCACCACGACTTAACAATAAAGTAAGAAGCCTCCGAAGACGTATCATTTACTCCCCGCTACCAGAACACCAAATA